ATTTTCTGAAGAAAGCCTACTTTCATTACCCAACCAGTGGCTACATGAGAGAAATCTTACGGAAGAGTAGTAATTAGTCCCTGTTTGGTTCGTGGGAATAGGGGTTTGGAATCGAAATCAATGAATTATTCTAATTCTAACTGTTTGGTTGGGCAGAATTGAAATCCCATTCTCATTTCTGCTGGAACAGCATTCCCCCATTTGAGGGAATGGCCATTTCCTATCCCTCTCTTGGGAATGAAATCCCATTCCTGCTGATTTTAATTCCCATTCTCATTTCTATATGAACCAAACACATTATGGGAATAGACCATTTTGATTCCGATTCTAGAGGATTTTGACTCCAATTCCGACCATGAATTAAAAGAACCCTTGATAAATCCGACATGATCATGCAACCACACTGAGAAGAAGAGATTGAAAGCAAGAATAGAGACAGTAAGATTGGCACATTTTACATGTAAATATAAAGGAAACTTATAGGGAGGTATTTTCAATAGTCAATTTTACGGTGAGTGGCAAAGTTATCAAAATGCTCATTCGTGGTTTGAGTAGCTGAGAGAATAAAAATAAAATTGTAAAATGATAGAAATGGACATGATTAATATGCAAATCATCATGTTGCTTCAATTCCTTGTTTGTTCAACTCTAAAAAAGAAAATGAGAATAAAAGGATTAAGAATTAGGATTTCAGAAAAGTACACTGCAACCCATCATAGAATTCTGAATTTCACTATAGATTTTCAACAATTCAAAATATCAARCATTCTCACACTAAATACCAATACCCACCCGTGTATTAGCATCAATTCCAAGCTGGCACCTAACCCAACTGTACGGTGAAGATAAAAATTCTAATAATGGGCTGAATAGTCATTCTTCCTTAAGATTTTAGAGACTCAATAAAAGAGAGGGCAAAACGATTTCATAAAATATATATGCAAAGGGTAATTTTAGGATTTTAAAAATGTTTCAACTGGCACATGATATCATTTGCTCTAAATAACTATGGAATGCTAATGGTTGGATAAGTGTTGATTTTTTAATATATAGGGCCCTCGTTGTCGGAAGCAAAACTGAAGGCCTTTTAAGTGCCACTACATCCAAAAGTACAGAGCACCACCCTGTAATTATCCCTATACTTGTATACTTGCGCAAATTACCAATAAAACATTGTTTATAAAAATAAATACAACCGATTTTACCATTGGTTGATTAGCAATGCAACCATTTTGGTCAAACAGGTTTATTTATAATGTCAAAAATCAAAATAACAAAACTGTAAATAAATACAGAAARTATGCAAAAAAAAAAGTGGATATATCTCTAAAAATATATATTGATTTTATTAAAAATAAAAGTGTGATAAATGAAAATTATTATTATTATTAAAAATAGATAAAAATATAAAATAAAAAAAAATTAATATATAACCCATGATTTGTTGATTGAGTCAGGTTGAGTGGTTCCACAAGATCCGTCATAGGGTGGCAGATGAGAATTAGAAGACTTTTGCATGGAAAGTACGTAGACATATCGATATGTACACATCACATGTGAACGTTGGTTTAACGAACATAGTTTAAATCGGTTCACACTTTGGGTGATTAAGAACAACGGAGACCCCTCCGCTGTCCACACCAAAAGCCAACCGGCTCCAAAACTACTGTTAGGAGATGCTTTTTGTTAGAGCAAAACAATTTTGTCAATGTGCGCAGTGTAATCTACAGCTAGCCTGTTTTGTTTGGGCATGGCTCGTACTTTTTCGTCAGTGTAAGATGTCTTGCTTGGGGCCTACTTTTGGATTGTGAGCAGCCAATCTTCACTGACCAGGCTCCCCAAATTAATGGGCGTCCCAGGAATAGTGCCCTGCATTATTTTCTCCTTAAACATTCAGAAAGATGTTGTAGTCGACCCTAGCTACCTCTCCTATTTGCCAACTGGCAAGTATTGGCATGGGCTCTAGATTTTAATCAAGGTGTGGTATTTGTCCACCTGCTCAATCTCAAACATGCTCCAATTCAAAGTGTTTGTATGGGATATAGGATCTCCTGCCCATGTCTACTCATAACACATTACTGTRTGAATTGGGAACTTCTCCCCTTGCATAGTATATGCAGAAGGATGAGATATTCTTTATGTGTGGCTGTAATGTTATATGGGCAAATGTGGGCAGAATTCTCGTGGGCAGAAGATTTAGACTCACTTGTATATGTGTGTGTCTAAATATATTTATGGAAGTAGTAATGATGGGCAGGGTAAATTTGGAGATCCCCATTCTCCATGAAGATAGGGATGGGGCTAGGATTTCTATCCATGTTGGGGTATGGGGCAGGATATTTGAATTTGCCACTATGTTGTCATTCCTATAATCCTATACATACTTGTCTTATATATAGTAAATACTTACACAATATATATAACTCTTATTTAAATGAAACATTTAGCAAACCCTTGAAACATTTTCTATCACATTTTTGTTCAGCACAGCCCAAAACTAAACCTATCAATGATAACCAAAAATCCGAGGCCCGGTCTAACATCCAATCTAATAATCAAATCGAATTCAGATTTTACTGAATCTGATCCGTTTACATTCCTACCCAAAATTCAAACGCAGATATTTATTTAAACATAACCTTAATTTCTTGTAAAGGAATCCAATCCAAAGTCTCTTCCTCCCGATTAAAAAGCAAGCCAATAGTAAAACGTTGGAACATCTGTGTCTGCACATTTCATGCAGGGATGAGTCCCAAGGTCCCAGACTTCTGGTCATGGGAGTGTTTTTTTTGTTGAGAGGAGAGGGCAATTCCTTGTTAAGGTCAACTACCACCACCCTTAGCTTTGAGATTGAGAATGAGAAGTGGACGGACAGAGTTGATGTGGAGGATAAAATTATTGGAATTGGTGTTAGGTGTAGAGCTGTAACTCATTCTCATTCTGAACTAAGTTTACAACAGGGATCCATTGTCGTATCCCCCATGTATAAGAAGAATTCTATAGACCGTACATTGAATTCATTGTATATTCATGCGGGCTGCGGCACAGGCACTCTGTACTCTGTAGGGATCCAGCTATTAAAATACACCTGCACCTGCTCCTGCTCCGGCAACAGTCACAGCCCTCCCTTCACTTGCAACTCCCAGTGAAAGACGGACACAACATCACTGCTAATGGGCCGATAGTATCCGGCCCAAATATAGAGCAAGCAAGCCCTACTCAGTTTTGATAGGTTCTTCGAGTTGGGGTCAGGCAGGCGTCTAGCCCACCCAACCCAAACAGGAGTCACGTCGAGCCCTCCTAATCCTGCGCAGTGGAAGCAACTCACGCAAGCAAGCCCCGTTGGCGTTGGGAATGCAATGTTGCCGCCGGTGACTGATGGACAGTGATTGATTTTGCGACAGCCCGATCGAGCCAATTCATCAGAAGACTGAAGACCACCATCGGTCCACACCAAAGTCCAAACCCATTAAATGCGAGCTCATCAAGGGTTCAAGGTACGAGGCGAGGCGAGGCGAGGCGAGGCGAGGTTCACCATTCCCTCTTTACCACCGTATCCCAAACGTCACTCACTCGCAGTCTCCCCTGTGCCTCCACAGTGACGCTGTCTCAACTGCATCTCACAAGGTCAAATCATTTCCCGACACAAATTTACACCCCTATCACCAAATTTCCTTCCCAAAATACCCATGCCTCAAACAGAAAAAGACAAACCAATTCATTAAAACCACCAGCAATCACGTGATCCACCAGAGGAAGTCTTCTCACTCCTCAGTCTCCGACCCATCGGAATTCGATCTCCGCTCCCTTGTCGGACAGTACTCAGTACTACTTCCACTACTTGTCTGTCAGTAAGAGAGAGAGTGAGAGACACACACACCCACCGCCCCGCTTCGCTTGCTGCCGGTTGACCTGCCTGAGAGTGTCATTCTGATCCCCTCTCTCTCTCTATCTCTCTCTGTGGCGGAGGACACTTGGAGAGAGATTAACACTGTGAGAGGATGGAGGGTAGTTTGGTCATTTGCACGGGGCCCGAGGTGAGTTTGGAGTCAAAATTCCAGAGTAATTCACTCCCCGAGGTGAATCAGGATTCAGAGTTAAGAGAGAGGGGAACACAAATCGCAGGCGAAGGCTAAGGTCTCTATACTTTGCTTCTCGCTTTCCCGGATTTAAATATTCTTTGCTTTCCGTTAGTCATACTCATGTTTTTTAATTGTTGTCGGACGGGTTTAACACCGGTCAACCCGGTTCATCCGGATTGGTTTTGATTCCCCTTTCAATCATGTTTTTCTCTTTCCTGTTAATTAAGTATTTTAAATTATCCTCTCTCGTTCACTGTTCATCTGTTTCTTTCATTACTCTTTAAACTTGGTGGCAGTGAGATTTGTTCTTAGGTTTTTGTTTAGAAGAATCAGAGATCCTACTAACTGAGTCACCATCGGTTGGCCATTTTTCTTAAACTTATTCTGACCTTTTTAATTACTAACAAACTCGGATTTGAGGCTCCATATGAGATTTTGGGAGTTAGGAGATTATCATTTTTTGCTCCATTTGAGATTTGGGAATTAGGAGATGATCAGTTTTGGGAATTTGGGTTTTAGCCTTTGAGCTTGAGGAATATAAAAGAGAAAAAAAAAACATTTTTTAATTTTTTATTTATTTTCTTCATTAAATAATTATTTAACAGAATCAGGATTAATTTGATCATTAAGAATAATTAATAGGGTAACTGAACAACAGAACAACATCTGTTATTGGTCATTAACGATGAAGATAAAGATAAGAAAAATTCTATGACACAAGGTTTTAAAAAGTAAGGGTGAATTTAAGAGAAATGGGAAAAAGTGGATAGAGGTGGGGTTTAACTGTTCTCCGTGGATGGGTTTACCAAAGGGTGGATACCAGGTCATTGGCTCGACCGGCCGCATTGGTTCGGCTTTTCTCTCTCTCTCTCTTTTCTTTATATTCTCTAATGTACACGGGAGGTAAAGGCTATTACCTTCCACCTTGAGATTCGAGAAAACTTTCTTTACCGGCAAGAGATCATCGAGATGGGGGACTCGTCAGCGACAGACAAGAAGCAAAAGCATTTATAAAAGCTAAAGTTGAAAAAGTTACGTCCCTCAGCCTCTCTCTCTCTCTCTGTGTGCAACCACTCTGTTTGAAAAAACTGAGAATTCTGGTATACTACCAACCTCTCTAGTCTTGCTGTGTATTTAATTGGGTAGAATTTATGCTCCTGGATCCCCAGAACCCCACCTTTTTAAATCTCCGCTTTTCTAAATTCCTACAACCCACTGAAGAAGCAAAGCAAAGGACACTCTCTCTTTGGTCTTGGCTCTGCTCAGCTCTTCTTAAGAAGACACTCTGATACTCTCACTTCAATAACATTGCCGCCATCACCATTCACCACCAAAAACAATGGATGTTGTAAGTTTTAACCCTTCCAAACAAACCCAGAACCTTATCCTTGTTTTCTTCTGTAATTTGTTTTCATATTCTTGTTTGTTGTCCAGGATTACTGGAAAAGAAGCCACGTTCCCGCTTTTGGGAACTGGGATTATGCGAATGATCTCCCAATTACTCAGTACTTCGAGTCCGCAAGACAAGCTGGGTTGCTCCGCTACAGCGCCTGTGAACGAGATTTGTACGTTGTTAGTGATTTCTATGGCAACGATGATCTCAAGAAACCGCCCAAAACTGCTGTCTCTCGTCGAAAGGTAGTGTTCATGTTTTCTGGAATTAATTTTTCATGTAATTTTATCAAAGATCAAATGGAGTCTCTTGATTCTTCTATATCCTCTAATCCATTCTCCTATTTACCTTAATTTCCTACAAAAAGAAAAATCATTCATCATTCATGTATTTGTTATTTTGAAATGGTAGAATACGTATACATATGTATTCATGATTTCATGTGATCGATCATGATTTATGATTGATGCATGCAACGATCCGTGAAACAATTTAATGCTTTGATGTGTACGTTGTCAGTGAATTGAATGCATGTATGTATGCATAGATGGGGCCTGGGGGTGATATATGGAAATAGTTAATGACATTGTGGGAATGAATGATGCAGACAAAGGAAGTGGAGAAGCGGTATACGCAGCATGATAAGGAGCCAAAGAAGCAAGGAAGGGTCTGTGACGTGACGGGACCGCCAAGCAAAGATCAAGAAGCTTACGTTCACCGCCACCAACCACCACCGCCCAGGGCTCCTAAAGCTGTTGATGAAGATTTATACAAAATTCCACCTGAGCTTCTCCGTTCCTACCCTAGGAAGGTAAAGGCCTCTCCCCCTCTTCAATCTTCATTCTATTTGAGATTATTATCTGGGAGCTTGGGTTTTGTGTGTAGTTTCTGTTGCTTAAAATCCCAATATCCGCTTACATGGGRCTCCTCCTCCTCCTCTTTGTTGTTTCTGTGTTTTGCAGAAGAAGATGTTTGGGTTTTTTTCAAGGTGTCTAGTGCCCACTTGCGTTGTGTGAATAAGGAAAGCATTTCGCCATTTGCTTGATGGAATTTCTTTGTGTAGAGAAACAGAGTTTTAAGTGCTTGTTTGTTTGAGTTGCATTAATGGGGCAATATTCTATCTGTGGCCCAATTACAATTACAGGAGAATGAGAAAAGATATGGGTTCTGGGTTCTAATTTTCGTAGTGCTTGTTGGCATCAGATACCATTTTAACTTTTTTTTTTAATATATAACAGATACCATTTTAATAAACTTCTCCCAATTTACAATGTTTTTATACAAAAGCCAAGCCAGCAGCACTACCTAAGACTGATGGGTCTCATTTTGAATCTCTTGTACTGAAACAACAAATGTTGGAATTAGGGTTTGTAGAAGCCTTAAATGAAAAGTGTTTTTGATGCTCAAATTATGCATTGTGGTCCTTTCAAAGTCACAAATACCAATGAACAAATTACCTCGTTTGTTAAAACATTAAAAAGTGTTGCAGCAGTGTCTAGCTATCACCACCTAATTAATAATAACCTTAGCAGGAAAGTTGGGTGGTGAGAATTTAGGTAAAAGAAATAAATTAAAAAGTAAGAGTTGAATAGTTTAGCGTTATGGGTCTAAAGCAAACCTTTCTAAAAGTAACCAATCTGAGATCACTGTGTTTTAAGCTTTAACAGGCAAAGAGTTGCATTCCCACGGTACCATCAATCCACACCACACAAATGACAAATCCATTTCACCTACTTTGAATCTCCACCGGTTCTACTCAGGTGGAGAATGGATAAAGGTATCAGAATTGCCATTTTCATGGGGCCATCAATCCACACCACAGAAATGACAAAACCCACTTCATTTGCTTTCAATCCCCACTGGTTCAATTAGTTTGGAGTCTTGGAGAATAGACATGAGTATCAGATAAGGTTTCTAGTGTCAAATATTCTTCATGGGTGCTTTAAAAATAAAGCGATGGAAAGGTAAAAGGTGACCAGGCGTGTGCCTGAGATTCAAAGCATTCAGGCGTGCATGTGTGCACCCCAATTCCTCCTAGATGAGTAACAGCTTATCAAGGAGAAAAGAAGCAGCCAAGCAGGTACTCGAGTATATAATGCCTTTGCTACATTGTCGCTTAGTTTCTTTATCTTGTGCCTCTGCAAGAACAGATGACCTCTAGTTTGTCTGTCTTGAGAGCATTCGGCATTGTGGGGTATGGTATAAAGTAGATTCCATTGTAAACGTCGGAATAGGGCCCTCATGGGTGGGGGCCCTGTTGAATCAATTCTTACCGTTGAAGCAGGGGAGATGCCCTTCTCTTTTTGCCCATGTTTTGGAGATGAGTACAAAATTCAAAGTAAATTCTCAGTCCGGAGTTTGTTACTCTTCTTTCATGTTACAAAGGGACCAAAGCCAACAGTTGCTTTTCAGAATTGGTCTCTACTAGTCAGCCCAAGTGAACCATGTGTATCTGTTTGTCACAGAAAATTGCTTGGACGCTAGGAAAATTTGACACATTGCTGACAACGGGGCCCTACTGTTGTCTCAATTACTTATATTGACTAAGGCATCATTTGTGGAGTCCACACGGATTCTTAACATGATATATAGTGTGATGGTGGGCATCGGTTAAATCTATTTTCTTCTCCTTCTTTTAATCAAAATTTCCACCTAAAATGTCTCCCCTTCTTGCTAGTCTCCTGGTTACAAGCCCGACTTAGCATTGCAGTTTGAGAGAAAAAAATGGTCCAGGATGATGATAATAGCTAAGACCCCCTGTTGCAGAGATCGTTTCAGGCCAAAACACGATGCAGATTTACCGAGATGACTGATCATAGCCATGCTCCGGCAATAGTCCATCCATTCTAGAAAAGAGGCCTGACATAATTTGGGGTTTAGGGTTTAAACCCATAAAGGATATGTCAACACTGAAACTAGAAAGAATTTAACAAATTAATGATTAAAAAAGAAACAAAGAAGCCAAGAATAAAGGGGTTTTTACTATTTAGTCCACCTCCAATAAATCTTAGCTTACGGGTGGGTATTGGTATTATAACTTTATAGGGGGAGGTTTTTGAAATTTTGAATTGTTATAGGTCTATAATGGAGTTCAGAATTCTGAGGTGGAATAGTTATCCCAAGAATCAATGCTTACCAAAAGAAAAGAATCGATTTGATCATGCAATACCCACATGGATGGAGTTCAGAATTCTGAGGTGGAGTAGTTATCCCAAGAATCAATGCTTACCAAAAGAAAAGAATCCATTTGATCATGCAATACCCACATGGGAGAAAGGGATTTCATTCTACCTCCCCTATCGCCTGATGGACATGTGATCGGAGGACGTCCCTGCTCCTACAGCGACTAGTTGAAATCAAATTTGGGAGAAAAGGATTTCATCTACAGCGTCTGGTGGACGTGCCCGCTCCATCCACCTCCCTTGTCGCCCTTGCCCCCTTCGTCACCTTCATCTGTTAGACCCCAAAATCCCACCGCTGTGACCTCACTCCGAATCTCCTTTTAGCTGTACACATGTAACAAAAGAACGAATCAACCCCGTTCTTATATTACAAAACCGCTGACACTAACACAAGAACAGCTCAACCCCGTTCTTCCTCATATTGTGGTCACATCTCTTTCCCCTGCTTCTCCCTCGTAGATCGTCAGGGAGGAATTGGTGCACCAAAGATTCATCCATTCATATTCAGGGACGTGATTCCTTTCTCTACTTGATGAACGTAGTTGACGGCAACTACAGCAACAATTCTATTGATTGATGTTGTCGAACCACATAGGTTTGAATCGGTTAATTTCATTTTGAAAATTTGAGGGAGAATAATGGATAAAGTAGTCTTTTTATTCTTTGATTTATTTCCATTAACAGACGTCAATGGTAAGGAGGACATAGTCAATTGTTGAAAAACTTAGAGGTACTCTTAGACAATATGTAAACAGTAAGAATAAAATTAGTAAATTAGCTAAACCATAAGGATAGTTTAATCTTTTTTTCTCTCTCTCGATTTTTTTTCTTTCTTGAGTGGGGTGGAGGGGCACAGACCACAGAACCTACCTCTTTATAGGTAGTGAAAGGGAGAGTTTAGTCTTGCCACATGGCAAAGGAATCTATGATTCAAATTTAGGGATAAACAAAGGAAGGATGGTAAGAGGAATCTCTAAGGCCACATTGAGCCCTTAGATCAATGTTTTAGAAACTAACCCAAACTGGAACCACTTTGGCCACTAGTTTCCAGGTCAGTGGTTCAAAGACAGCCCATTTCAATTTAAAAAACAATAAAAATTAAAAATATAATTAAAATGACAAAACAACCAAAAATCATTGTCCAAGTCAAATGTGTCAACGACTCAATTGCCCGGGTCAATAGGTCATTGACCAAATCAATAGTTTTGGCCAAGGGGTGAGTTATGGGTGAAATAACCGATTTGATTTCCAGACCAAACAGTCCAACTATCCGAATCAACGACGGTTCATAAACCATGCATTAAATAATTTTCCGATGGAGCATTCTTTGGTAGTTGAGCCTTTGATGAACTAAACAAAGTAAGGCTCACTTATTGGGATAAAAAGGAAGCATCCTACACAATTAACCTATTTTTGTGACAAGGATGGGTCATATGCCAATCAAACCGATAGGGGATCAATGGATAAGTGAGGCATATGAACTTAATATTAGAAGGGTTTGGAACTAATATTTTGGCCTTGTTCGTTTATCAAGAGCCATTTTCCCATGTTCTTTTGCCTCACCCACTTTCTCGAGTAAGTGGTTAATTTTTCTATCTTTTGTCATTTTTAGCTTTGGGCTCAAATCCATGTCTTTTAGATTTTATTGCTTTAATAGATGTTTTTTATAGGTTGTATTTTGARCATTTACTCTCAACTCGAGAAAGTTAACTTTCCAAAGTGGAAGAAAGATAACACGCCCCTGAGTAAGTGATACACAAGAAAAACATATTTACCATAGATACCCACCTAAATCCTTAAAAAGAACATGGGAGAGTTGATCAATGGCAATCACAATCCCATTGACCCATTTTCCCTCCTCTATTAGAATCTGCAAAACAAACGAGGCCTTTGAGCTATACATTTCCTATGCGGGGTCAGAAGTGGAACTAACCAACTTGAAGACTCAAGGAGTGCACATCGATAACCCCAACTGAAACTGCATGGCAGTCCAATATGCCACATGTCATTGACTCATTTCCTTAATCGTTTAATGATACTTAAGTGTTTGGTACCATTGCTGTTTTTGCCTAAAACATTTTGGATTGGATCAAAACAAATTGGTTAAAAATATGTTTGACAATCACAACTAGCAAAATGCATGTGGGACAATTCACAAATCAAATTTGTATTGATCATGTGGCGTTTAAAGTATAAACAGCAACTTGTAATTTTGGTCAACCCAAAACGATTGAGGTAGAAAAAATCTCTTAAAAATCTGTACCCAAATGTTTGAGGTAGAAACAGCAATCCAAAAACAACCTATATATTCTCCATGTTCTCAAAAACACTCATTCGCTTGCTGGGTCGGCAAGGAACTGAAGACTAACCAAACATGATTCATTATCGTATGTGCCAGTTCCGTATTTTAAACCAAAAATAATCCAATGGCATGAAAACCAACCACCCAAGTCACTTAAATTATTAATGGTGGGAAACAAGTGGGAAATAGAGAAACTTGTTTAATCGAAAAAACCCCTTTTAGTGTTTTTAATAAATAATATTAGACTTATTATCCATTAATAAATTATTAATTATTTCATAAGACAATAATAAAATAATTTAATTACAATTAATAAAATAAAATAGTACTAGTAAAATACTAAATAATAAAAAATATTAACTAATTAATAGTCAACAAAAAACAATTATTGAATAATTAATTAATTATTTTATAATACTCTTAGAGAACCATTCAACCTAAAAGCTTAAGCTATTAAGTGAGGTCCTTGAATAGGTTTTATTCTTTAACAAATACAAATTTATTATTTTTCATAAGACAATAATAAAATAATTTAATAATATAAAATATTGATAAAAATACTAAATAATATAAATATTAATTAATTAATAACTACGAAAAATAGTTATGAAATAATTAATTATTGAATAATTATTATTAATTTACTTAAAATTTACTAAAATGTTAATTAAATACACACTAGTAATACTAAATAAAAATATTAATTAATGCTAACAATAGTAATAAAATTAATCAATAAAAATATTAATAATTAATAATAAAAACACTACTAATTTACTGTCTATACTTTTGGGGATAACATGAACCTATAAACTTAAGCAGGGTACTTTTAACGACTGAAATTTCTGGGGAGATCATGACTGAATTCGGCAATTGATTTAGGGTAGAGCGGTTAAATTTCAGAGGAAGAGCTTGGAGAAGAATTCTCCAAAAAACAATGATGTGAATACATGACGGGAATTCCTTGAAGGTGAGTTCTTATTTGGTAGAGCGGTCAACTTTCCTTTATCCGATCCGAATATCTCAGAGGCTCACACTTTCCAAGAAGGTATTCAAATGGCGCCAGACTTGCAAATCACTCATGTTTGGATTGAGGGTGATGCTCAAAAGATGGTCCAAGCCCTGTTGGATGACCAATTTGACATCCCTTGGTGGTTATTCTCCATTATTTCACGGACTTTTGAAAGACTTTCAGTCTACTGTTATCTCATTTAGGCCTCGTACAGGCAATAGAGCAGCACATTTAATTGCAAAATTTGCTTGTAATCTCTACAAGACCTTAACTTGGTCGAATCCGCCTGATTTCCTTTTGCCTGTACTTGTTGAAGATATGAATGAAAGAATTGCCTACGGGCTTATTCAAAAACAAAAAACAAAAACAAAACTTAAGGAGAGGAGGGTGGGAAAAATAGCCCGGGCTGTTTGGGAGCTTCCTTGTGCACGACATTATCATGTGTGCGGGGTCAAAGAATAATTGCAACCAACATTCCTTAAACCAAAAACACAAGGAATTAATTGAAGCTGAAAAACAGCGCAGGCTCGGGCTGTTTTCTCAAACGGCCACCAAAGATTTGCCCCTATGAAAGGCCCCTTGCTATAAAACTAGCCACCGAAACCCCCACATACATAATGGACATCGAATAATTTACAATACAAGAATGGATTTATGACAGAAATCAGTTAGGCGACCAATGACCCAAGGATGATTGGCATTACCAGCAAAAAAACAAAAAAACTTGGAGCTTGCGCGGGAATCTTATATACAGTCGTCCTATACCTCTAGATGCACAAAAGCACTCGACATGTTCTTTTCATACAAGTTTCCTTCACACCGGAAAAGAGATCACCGTTCTCTAGTAGACAGGACTGAATTAACCTGAAAAGATAAGTAGAAAACCTTTCGGATAGATGGTCTCGATTGACCAGTGGCCATGTTATCTTTGCACCGGCTAAAACAGGGGTTTGCCATGGATTTCCTACATCTTGCATAAAGTAAATAGTATATCTTTATGCATGCACAGAAAATTTAAATTAAGAGAACATAAAGTGCAAATCAACAACAGAAAATTTCCTACATAATTAAGCACTTGTATACCTGGTTTCCAACCATGAAAGCTTGCCTTCTCAATCACTGATCCTAGATTCCTAGGTACAAGAGTTCAAGGTATAATGGAATGAGAAAGGCAACACATCTAACCATCTCAGGATTACATGCACTGATGGTTGTGAAATCCAATTAGTAATCAGTATGTTGCGAGACTTCTCCCCTGTCCCTTTCAGACTCAGAAAAGTATTTATGGGCATCAAATGGCTGATTCCTGGAACTGGAATCACGAAAATTGAACCCAATCCCACTATTCATGGGAGCAAATGCTGCAAGAAGAATCAATAGAATGCATTAACAGAAAATATACTATATTAAAAAGCAACCCCTGAGTATTAAATATTATCCTCTTTAAGTTTATACAACCAATACAAACTTTGAAGAGATTCATTGTTAAAGTTACTTGGCAATTGTCATCCCTCACTTCTGAGGAGGCCCAGGTTCAAACCCATGGAATGACAGGCTCTCCCCACACCATGCCAGTGGAACCTGAGTATAGGGGTGTCAATCGACCGATTTTGGATTGGATCCAATCCGATCCAAACCTTATCAAATCAGATTTAGACAGTCCACTATAATTATTGGATTGGGCCAATCCAAAATAAATTGGTCCATATTCTTATTGGTCTGAATTGGACCTAAACCAAATTTCCAATAATCCGATCATGAGGCCAAATCCTTGTCCAATTTGAAACTGATCAAAACTGAAGCCAGCATAAAATCACTTTTTGAAAGTATTTTTATGAATGCACTTTTACGAAAACGCTTTTATAAAAGTAATTTTATGAAAAGTACTTTTACGAAAACACTTGTACAAAAATACTTTTACAAAAATACTTACAAAATCACTTTTACAGAAGCAATTTTATAAAAGCACTTTAATAAAACCACTTTAAAAAAAAAAAAAATAGTTTTCGAAAGCACTTTTATGAAATCACTTTTACAAAAGAACTTTTATGGAAAAAGCACTTTTATGAAAACACTTATAGGAAAGTACTTTTATAAAAGCACTTCTACGGAAGTACTTTTATAAAAGTACTTGTACAAAAGCACTTTTATGAAAGTACTTTTATGAAAGCACTTCTATAAAAGTGCTTTTTCAATGCCAAAAGGGTATATTTTTGTAATTTTCAGATTTTCTTCATGTTAATATATTTTTGTAATTTTTTATATGTTCTGTTTTTTATATAATTTTTGATATTTCATTCGGTTTGGAATGGATCCAATCCATTCCATTTACATTTTAATGGATTGGATTGGATTTGGTTTGTATTGGATTTGGACTGGATTGGGTCCAGTCCATTTGTAAGTGGACTCGCATTTGGACTGGATCAGGTTGGACCAAATCCAGTCCAACTGACACCTCTACTGGAGCACCCTGCTCTACTAAACATATGATTGATGGCTTGGCAATTGGCACCTTGCTTTGAGGAAGCATGGATTCAAATTCGTGGGATGGCAGGCTCTCCACATTAGGCCATCCCTACTAGCCATCTAAGGAGGTCTGGCATATAGTGCCCCATCCCTATGGAGGTAAAAGAAGCATTTCCACAACTAAAAGAAAAAACTTTATATAAACAGTACTATATTTGTCATTGACCTGATGCACCTAGCAATATGCAACCACTACAGTACTGAGTTCTGATGCCATTTCATGGCTTCATGCTAAGTTGGAGAACATAACTTTCTAGGCATTGGACCTATTTTCTGCATTGTGTTACATTTAAGTATTATCTCCAAGCCAATAGAACTAAAATCGTGTCAATGTCAACACATAAGTACATTTATGTTTGAATTTGTATACCCTGCTATAAAATGTAATTCATACCTAAACTGGTAGTGGAAAGGGGTTGTCAAGTGGTCCTTGTTCTCCTTCCTACCACACTCCCCACTACCCACACCATAATACAGACTGACCCTCCTATCAATTTTCAGAACAATATTATTTAAAAAAAATTAAATCCAATCTCACCTCCTTGAAAAAACCCCCTCTTCTCTATATCTTCTCCACCAATCATGCATCCACCACAGCCCAATAAAAACCATTTAAGCCCCTACACTTCTCGATATCTGTTTCTACCAACCACATTGCCTATTAGGAGTGGATTAATTGGATAAAGCCCCCTACTCACCCCTAATGCTCTGTACAAGGTTAGATTTGGTATGCCAATGGTTCAGGTTGGTATCAGTTACAACCATCCCATCTTGTAGGGTCATAATGTTTACATGTATAAGAGAGAAAGAAAAAGAGGAAATTTTAGTACAATCTGTAACCTTAATTGGTTGCCTAGATATAAACAAACTTCAAGAGAATGTTAGATAATTTTAACATCCCCTTCATTTCTTTAGTGGTTAACTCTCACTGTTCTCCAACAATGGTCGTGGTTATTGTAGTAAGAAGGAAATGAGAGAATCGGTAAAAGTCTTACCTTTCTTTTTCTCCCTACGTTCCTGGCTCAGCATGCTATTTTTTCCTTAATTCTTTTAATAGGATTGAGTGGGAGCTGTTAGAAATAGTATAAAGGGTATTTATGTCATTTTAGCAGTAGCTACTTGTATGGGTATTCTTTTTATTTTTTTATGAGTAACAGCACAGAATTTCATTAATTAGAAAAAGAGGTTAAGGTACATCATTAAGGAGAGATCCCATCTAAGGAGGCTAGCCTCAGCTAACCTCCAAAAAATAAAAGAAAAAACCAATTTGGCAGCCCCAGTACAAATGACCTCTTAATACCCCCTGTTTTTCTGATACATCTGCCAACCATTGGCAGCCCTTGGAATCCATTTTACTTGTGCCTGCAGGTGTCTATTAATTTTTTCAGCTTTCTGAAGACATAACTTCCAGGCGACCTGATCACCTTTAACCATGCTATGCCTTGTCCAAACTCTTAAGACCTGTGAGTGCTGCCTAAGTATCTGCCCAGATTGAATTTCCTACACACAAAGAACCTGAGAAGAATTCTAAAATATGGGGGTATTCTAGTCATCGATATTTTATGTTCACAAAAAATTAATAAATAAATGGGTTCACTAGAATGTCTTACTCATTTTCTCCCATCAATTCTCTCTTCTCTTTATGATCTCCTGCTCTCTTGTTCTTCTTTTGAGGTCAAGACATGGTATCAGAATAACAAATGAATCATTTCTGAGGCCTGAGAGCATGTCTTTTCTAAAGCCCTCAACAAGTTAAATGTTTTTTCATTCCCCCAAGGAATGAGAATCAATCTAGGGTTTTTCATGGGGGACAAACATTTTCCTCTCCTTACTTTCCCCATGTCTTTTGTAACAATCAATGGTTGCCCACTATGGTGTTTCCCGGTGATGAAGACATTCTTGTCTCCAACAGGGATATCAATGAGAAAAGGTCTAATTTGCAGTGTTACGAGGTTGTTAAGATTGGTTGAGGAATGTGTTACAAATGGTTATTGCCAATTACTTCTTCATTCAATGAATGTGTTAATTCGAGTGTGGTATTGTGAAGGCTGTCTGCATTGCTGAGGTGCTGTTGTTGGTTATTTGAAAATGTATTGATTGATTTAAGGTGTTGGACTTTACTAGGATGTGCCAATTTGTGCAATGGAGTGTGGTATTAAAACATGATTGGTTATGAATTCATCTCATTACTGTATAGATAACCTCCATTAAACTTAATAGAGTTAGGTTTCCTTGGGCTGAATCTCTTGAGGTGTCCTTTACAATGAAGGGAAAAGTTAACAGATAGTAACCCAAAGGCTGAAATGAATTCTTATAATGAATGGGTTCAAGAGAATCTCATTATGACCTGGCTATGGAATGGCATGCAAGAAGCCAATATCAATATGAATCTTGTGTTTTTCTAGACACAACAAAGGAAATGTGAGATTATGCCAAGCAACCTATTCACAGTAGAACAATATCGACCGAGTATACCATCTTTTTCAGGAGTACCTATGATCACAGGCTCACAGCAAGAAGAAAAAGACCATGAAGAGAATTATCTTTTTTTATGAATAAATATGAAGAGTATTATCATTGTGCTACTCTTAAACATGTTTACAATGAATTAGGTAAGTATCAGATATTGACCTCAGGCCTGAGACAGAAGAGGCATTGGGAAAATCTTGATGTAGCTTGACTCTTGAGGCTTACACATGGGTCAAAGATCAAATCTTGGGAACTAGTGGAAGTTTTTCTCATGTTGGGAGAGTTTCATTGAACTCTCCAGGACCTATCTTTTACATATCAACTTGCCTTAGTAATCTTAGAAAATGCTAGTTGGGACAATAGAGGTAGAAGTTATGGAATTCGAGGGGGTCTGTTTACTGGTGTTAATGGGGGAAAGGGTGATGATCGTGAAACCCATGAAAACAATGGTGGTGTTTTATATTTGAATAGTAAAAAATAAAAATTTTATTAATAAAATAAAAACAGGATACCACCCAATTACAAAAGCACAAAGACTAACAAAAGAAAAACATGGAAACCCTCGACATAAAAAAGTGTCTAATCTTCAGGATCAAATGCCTCACAATGTCCCTCATCAAGTTTAATTCCCAGGATCAAACTTGTTTGTCTCTTTGGCTTTCTTCATCCCTTTTAATGGTTCAGTGTCTCCTTCCTTGTCCACTCTTTTTTGACCTAAATGAATTCCAACCCTACCAGTTGCGATTTCCAACTGCTGGAAATTCCCGCACTCCAATCCTACCATTCACACCCTCATCACAGCACGAGACAGTCACTTGTTAATAGCCCCTTCACCGTCAGCCCTACCTAACTTTCCTTCCTTGCCATCCCCTTTCCCACCTTACTAACTCCTTCACCACTTCCCCAGAACTCACCTCCCTTCCTTCCAACTGAACTTTTGAAAAAACAGCCCCTTGGTTCTCCTTCTCCCAACTCCATTGTTCTGACAAAATGGAAGAGAAGGACAAAATGGAAGAAAGCTTCACAGCGAAATCACCAAAATAAAGAAACTTACCTGCTTGCTGGTCATAAACCGACTCCTCCTCCCCTCCAACGCAATGCTTCCCTTGGCCAGAACTTTCAACGTGATTACCACACTGATCTTTCTCCTCAAGAACCTTACAACCTGTCCTTCCCAAGATTTTCAGGCTGAACGCATGCCCAATTCTTTGACTCTATTTAAACTCTCTTCTTCAAGACTCCCAAAYTGAAATGAGGTGTCTTCAAAAACTCCCCAGCCTTGTTGATGAGACTGGCTTTCAAAACTCGATCCTCAATCAACCTTCGTCTCCTTTACCTCCCCGAGTCACCTCGTGGTCTCATTTTCTCCTTCCACGTGCCCCACTGAGTTAGTCTCTCCCCTAACGCCACTATCTTTAAAGGAATTAACTCCATCGCAAACACCCCAGTTAAGTTTAAGTTCTCCTCACCATTCATAATCGCACGTGCCCCACCACTTTTAATGTTTCTCGGGATTATACTATCACTATTCTTCATGCAGCCCAAGAAAAGTCCCCAACTGCTTCAATCAAGGAGATATCATGGTAGAGGATGTGAAACTCCTAGAAAAAAATGCATTTATCAAAAACAAACTCCTAGAAAAATGCATGTATTGTGGTTTGGATATGATTATACCATCTAATTGGTTATAATCTGCATGGCCACCATCCATATGGGTTAATCATGTATCAATTGAAGAATCTAGAGTAACTAAAATTAGCCAAAGCCTGCCCTACTTGCATTACTATAACTTTTTTCTGTTTTTTGAAAAAAAAAAGGTTATTTCATTGAATAGCAAAAAGGGAGGAATGTACAAGGAAGATATATAAGAGCAAAAAAAACCAAACACATTTACAAAGGCAGTGTATTCACACCATACAAGGAGACCCTGTCCACCCCCAATTTGACAAGCAGATCAGCCTAAGTATTTAACTCCCTCAGAATCCACCTATAGGACACAAAAAGTTCTGTACTAAGCTCTTGTATTTCATTTAAGAAATGAGAAAATCTCCACAGCCCCACAGCAGAACCAGAGACCCATCCAATCACAACTTTTGAGTCACACTCAACAAGACCTGGCTTTCATGGACTTGACAATCCTTAGCCCCACAAGAAGGGAGCTTGGGTGGAAGTAATAAGAAATGACTTAAGCGCCCATAATATAATGATGGATGGCACTGAACAGAACAGAATGGCAAAATAGGATTCATGTAACCAACCCCATATGGTTGGAACAAGGCTTGGATTTGAATTATTCTGCATCTTTGAATCTTTCCATGTTGAAATTCAAAATCAATTTGGTGTGCATCTTGAAATTTTGAATGTATAATGCAAAGGAGTGTTTTCTTATTAAGTTTCAGAATTTATTTAAACAATGTTGGATTATTGATTGCACATCATATTTATATATTTCTCAAGAAAATGGAATGGCTAATTTATTTCTTGCTTGAGATTTCAGATGTTTACTTATACAAATGGGGGTCCCTAAACAGTTTGGGAATGGTGTAGTTCTTATAGCATATTGTCTAATTAATCATATGGCTAGATCAGTCCATGGAAATTCTACATTCTCTACTTTTTTTCCTACTTCCCCATTAGTTTCCTTTTTTCTTCATACTATTAGATGTGTCTGTTCTGTGAACATTTAGGCTTGGGCTTAGGTACACTCAACCTGCATGCTGTCCTGTGTTTTTCCGCATTACTCAAACACATAAAGGGTATAAGTATTACAGTCCTAAGTTGAATAGGACTCTAGTTTAGAAGAAACTTGGTGGGATGGATTTCATATTTTGGCCTCTAGTTTTTTTTTTCTGAGGGGAAGGGTGGGCTATGCTTGAGGTTAGATTAAATGGGTCAGCATTGGAGTAACCCCAACATATATCCATAACATACCTGACAGCTGGCACTCCCAGGTGCTATGTAAATATATTTACTTTCATTCAACTCATGACTGACATGAAACTGAGCTTCCAAACTCATTTATTGGGAAAGAAACAAGCTAACCTTGGAATTATTATTGTACAAGGTGGTCTGAGCCTCTGAGGAAGGTGATAGCCCACTCCACAGGCAAACATATTATTTTATTATCTAATGAGCATGTACCATCTGCTGGCTAGTACCAAATACTCCTTTAATTTGGTTCTTGACATTATTCTACCATGTGCATCAGCCACTAAAGGAAGATCCAAGGATGAAAAAGCATCTTATTTCGTTAACAGATGTCACTCTTTTGAATTATATGACTCAAGTAATATTGACATGCCATAGCAAGAAAAAAAGTAATATTGACATGGATACAAAATATAAAAGATTTTGTGCAATTTGCTGAGTAGTGTTTTTTTAAGTAAAGAATTATAAGATAAATTCATGAATGAAGTGGTTTTCCATGTGATCAAATTTTTAGTAAGAAAAATGAAAGAAATAACAAGATTGACAAAAAACGATGGAAGCAAAAAATGAGATTAATGCTCAAATTGTTAGTGAAAGCAAAGATATTTAGATGCATAGGGCATACCTTTCTCTCTCATTCTTTTTTCTCTATCGTATTCAAACTTGTCCCGGATTTGGCCAACTTTTTCCCAGGTATCACCATATCTGTTTCTCCCAAAACTTAGGTCCTGTATTTCCATTCAGTTACTTAGGTATGTGGTGACATTACTAAGAAGTTTCTCAAGGACCATTTACATAGAAGATTTAAAATGCTATGCAGATATTTAACATGTAATATTTTTTTAAGTAAATAATTTATTGATATTAAAGCCAAAAGATCAGAATTACAAGCATCCCTAGGAGAGGCACGAGATACAGCTTCTCCCTAATAAACAAAACATCAATCAAGTTACATATGAGCGCAGTACAACTGATTCCTATTTACCCCTTGCAGTGTTTTAAAAGTGCAAGGCGCAAAAAAAAGAGCAATGGCCATTTTTTGCCTGAGACGCAAGGTGTAATGTGAGGCACACACCTTTATGAAGCAAGGTGCAAATTTTCAAAAAAAAAAATGCAAAAATGCAAAAAAAAAATGTAAAAAATTCAAAATGAAATAAGAAATTATTGAAATAGTATCAATTAAAAATTCAAACTTTAATTTTAAACTAAATGCTTTAAAAAAAAAAAAACCTATTAACTCCAATTAAATGCTTTAAAGCATATTCAAAGTGAAAATACAAAAAAAAAACATACAAAGCATATTCAATTTCCCTATTGCATTATTTTAAATAGTTAATGTTATGTTAAACATCTTTCATTCCTGATTCTACAAGCTGCCTTTGTACCAAGCCCCTCAAGGCAAGCTCAAACAAGTCCATGTTAAGGTCTTAAATTCTTAATCCCTACAAAAAAATGATTTTATAATTTAAATTATCTTCTATAAATATCTTATATTAGGATAAATGAATATACAACATTAGCAAATAGGGGGTTCTCGAAGCACAATTCTGCCCATTGTGGGGAACCTCAAGGGAATTATTACACTATGGAGAGATGATGTTGTGGAGTCCATTGAGGAACTAATTGGCAAACTCTCAATATCTATAAAATTCAAAAACTTTGAGAATGTACTCATGTGGGTATTAACGAATGTTTGCGAGCCAAATATTTATAGAGTGGAATGCAATATGGGAGGAATTGTTTGCAATTATTGGCTTATGGGATGGTCCTTGGTGTTTGGTGAGGATTTTGCTGTAATTAGATTCTCTAATGAAACAAGTAACCCCCAGAAGCAGATTTCCACTAGCATGAGAAGGTTCAATGAATTTATTGATTTATGTGAATTAAAGGAGCCCTCTATTGCAAACAAGATTCACTTGGTCCAATTTCCAAGAAAATCCCTTATGCTCAAAATTGGATAGAATTCTCTTCAATATTGGCTTGGAAAGCCTTTGGGAAGATTTGGTTGATAGAGCACTGCCTAGAGTCACATCAGATCATTGTCCCACCAATTTTGCTTGACCTAAAAAAAAAAGGAGGATTATGTGGAGGTGTGCTAGAGCAGCTCTGTTGTGGACCATTTGGGAAGAAAGGAATTCAAGAATTTCCAAGAAAAGGAAAGAAGACTACAAGAAATAAAGGAGTGTGTGCTTAATAGGGTAATTCATTGGTTTAAAATATTGGATTTATTCAATCGTTTTCCTTTGATGATTTGTGGAGGAATTGGTCACCTGTGACAAGGTGTTCTTCCAAAAGGAACAAAGTGCAAGTTGGATACCTCCTCCTGAAGGTTATTTAAAGCTAAATTTTGATGGAAGCAATCAAGGTAATCTAGGCCTGTCTGGAATGGGTGGGGTCTTGAGAAATGAGGTTGGGAATGTTTGATCACTTTTCTCAAAGTCCATTGGGAGCTTGGACTCTATAAAGGCTGAGTTACTAGCGGCAATTTAAGGAGTGCAGATTGCACTCTAGCTTGATGTGGAGTTTCTTCTGATTGAAGGGGATTCCAAGTATTGATTTTCCATAAAACACTTCCTAGCAAAACAAAATAATACTTTAGACTGCCTACAAAAGAAGAAGCCTTTTTTATGTGCTTGTCCCCTAACTGGTGTACTCTTTGCAAAGCTAATGGTGAGGACAGCTTCCGCTTACTAATTTCCTTCTCCTTTGCTATTGCTATTTGGGATTGAATTTTTGCCTTATTTGGTTGCAGGTGGAATCTACCCATTGATGAAAGTCTGCTTTTCGACCCGTCAGTCTTTGTATGGCCCACAAAAAGAGTGAGGATCATGTGGAAATGTATCAAAGCAGCTGCACTTTGGACAATTTGGAAGGAAAGATATGCAAGAATTTTTCAAGAAAAGGAACAAAGTCTCCCTGATATCAAAGAGTGCAAATTAACAAGGGCAATTCATTGGTTGAGAACTTATTTGTTCTCCTTTGATGACTAATAGCAGAAGAAAAAGAGAAGAAATAAGGAAGAAGAAGAGAAGAGAGAGAGAAGAGAGAAGAGAGAAAGGAGAAGAGAAGAGAAAGGTTTGGAGAGTTCTAATCTTTCTAGAGGCACCAGCTTATGTTCTTATATATAGGGCGACCATAAATAAAAGGGCAAAGACCCTTATGCTCCTGTTGTAGTCAAAGTACATAAACAAAGGAAAAAAGGCTATTTTAACCAGACCAAACAGGCCCTAACTAAGCAAAATGCAATCATAAATATAAAGGAAACCATTCCAACACTAGCCCTCAAGTTGGGACATTGATGTCAATCATGCCCAACTTGTCACACAAATTACTATGCCACACATGATGAAGGCCCTTGGTGAAAATGTCTGCAAGTTGTTCTTCTGAACTGACATATGGAGTATACACTTCTCCACTCACAAGTTTTTCTCTAATAAAATGCTTGTCCACTTCAATATGTTTTGTTCTATCATGGAGGATTGGGTTAGAAACAATGTTGATAGTAGCTCTATTGTCACAATAGAGTGACATAGGTTTGTTAATTGTTGTTAATGTCAATTGTATAGGGGTATTTTAGTCTTTTATATTTATGTTTAAAGCTACTGATGTGTAATGTTTCTGTTAGATGATGTGCCCCATACTTAAGTGGGGACAAAGTAGTCCTTTGTTATTATGGATAGAAACATATAAATTCAATCTGGCCGACTAGAGAGAAATCTGAGTTCTCTAGTTCGAACCAGAATTTTCTCCTTCTCTATTCTCCTGTCTTCTTCTTCTACTTCTTCTTCTAGTCTCTCTAATAGTTCTTCAACCCTAATTCTAACAGAATTCTAGTGCACATTAGATTTATAATATAGTATCAGAGCTACTGTGACAAAATCGAATCTGCCCAGAATTCTGGTTTTCTCGCATTCAGCCTAGGGTTTTTTTTTTATTTTTTCTTCATCATCGGTTGAAGATAGGGGAAGGGGCTGAAAAGGAGTGGTCGCCCTCTTCCCTTGGAGGTTTCTATGCCTCCGGTCAGCAAGTTTGTGGGTGTTTGCAGTGATTTGTAGGAAGCCCCTCCAATCGATGGTGAGAAGAGGACTGGTTCAAGTGATGTAGTGGAGTGTCGAGTGCAGGTCGATTGTTTGGTGATTAGATAGGTGGGTTTTGTGCAGATTCCAATGTGGATCAAATGGTTAGTGAGTTCCAAGTAGTGTGGTGAGAGTTCAGGTAGTTGTGTAGTAGGATTGTGCGGAGAGTGAAGAATTCAGCGACAAGTGGTGTTGAGTGCAGTGTGGTGTAGTGTGCAGTGTGGTGAAAGGTGAATTAGAAAGAAAAAAAAAAATTCAGATATGGGAGATAACAGTGAAAACAAAACTAGTGTGATGGTTCCCACCAACTACCTGAATGTTCAGATGACTTCTATCAAATTGAATGGGGAAAACTATGTGCCTTAAGCGAAATCTGTAGAGGTCTTTCTTAAAGCTAAGAAGAAAGTGAAGCATATAAGGCAAGAAAAACCCTCTACTGAGCCTCATGAGTATGGTGATTGGGAACAAGAGGATGCACAGACTATAACCTGGTTATGGAATAGTATGGAACTTAAGATCAATATGAATTTCATGTTCCTTGATACAACCAAGGAGGTTAGGGACCATGCCAAGAAGCAATATTCGGGACAAGACAACACAACTAGAGTGTATCAGTTTTATCAGGAATACTTTAACCTGCAATAGGGYAATCAGAGTCTTGAGGAGTACTATACTAGTATGAGAAACCTTCACAATGAATTGAATGTGTACCATCCCCTCACCTCTGATATTAAAAATCAACAACAGCATAGAGAACAACTAGATGTGACCAGATTTTTGGTAGGACTGAAACCTGAATATGAACCAATGAGGGCACAAATACTAAGGGTCAGCTCTTCCATCTTTAGAAGAGGTGTTTGCTCATCTTCAGAGGATCTTTATTGGACCTACAAAGAATTATAGTATCTCTGATAGGTTGGCCTTTGCAGTGTCAAGAGGGGGAGGCCGTGGTGTTAGAGGTGGAGCTCGGGGAGCTCAATCTGGCCGTAGTGGTAGTAGTGAACTAGTGTATGGTCATAGTGGTAGTGATGGACCTATGTATAGTCATGGTGGTGGACGTATTGGAGGTCAAGATTCAGGGGGAGTTCGTGGTAGAGGACGTAGTTCTAGTAAGAAGATGTACGCACTGTTGTATGGAAGGACATACCATCAATTATTGTTATGATTTGCATGGCCCACCTTCAACTTGGGAAAATCATGCAGTGACCAGGATCATCTAGCTGCTCAGATACCCTCTAATATCTAATAGATGTTCTCGAGAAGGAGATGATGAGTGCTCCACGTGATGAGTATGAGAGGTTTGTTCAGGCCACATTGCAATAGAATACAACCACTCTTGCACACTCAGGTATGGCTTGTTTGGCATCCAAACCCAACCCCTGGATTATTGACTTTGGAGCCTCCGATCACATGATTAGAACTCTAGGTGTGTTTTCCTCCCTTTCTTAGTGCCCAACATCACACTCTGTTACCTTTGCTAATGGTTCAACCTCTTCCATTTGTGGTGTTGGTAATAGACCTTTATCTTTATCCTTAGTTTTGTATGTTCCCAATTCTCCTTATAACCTTATGTCTGTTAGTAAGTTGACCAAGTCCCTTAATTGCTTTATCACTTTTTACCCTTCTTCTTGTGTTTTTTAGGATCTCAAAACAGGGATGAAGATTGGTGGAGGGCATGAAGCTGGTGGACTATATTATCTTGATAGTGGAGGCAGTGTGTCAACAACTCTTCAGACATCTCTTTCTCCTCTTCAGTGGCACTGTAGATTTGATCATCCATCACTTAAAGTTTTGAAGTTTGTTGTTCCGTCGTTGAGTCATCTTTCTATTTTGCAGTTTGAGTCATGTTAGTTGGGGAAACATCATCGTGTTTCCTTTTAGTCCTAAGGTTGATAATCGTATGTCAAGTCCTTTTTCTTTAGTTCATTTAGATGTTTGGGGTCCAAATAAAATAATGTCATATGTGAAAACCCTATTCAGTTCTGGGTTGAAGTAGAGAAGAAGAAGAGAAGGAGAAGGGTTCGGCCAGTAGAGGAAAAATCAGTCCTCTCTAGTCAACCCACTTGCATTTATCTCACATAAACTTAGTTACAAGAAAGACAATATTGTCCCTCATAAGTGATGGGACACACAACTTAGACTTGAATAAAGCAGACCTTTCACTCTCAAATAGATCAACCCAAATGACCAAAATACCCTTGTTCTGTGAAGTCTAACACTCCCCCTCAAGCTAGAAAGTATATGTCATATAGTCCCAGCTTGTTACAAATATAATCTACTTTGTCCCGAGATAATCCCTTTGTAAAGAGATCTACCCACTGATTTCTCGAGCTCACATGAGATGTGGTTATCACTCCACTGATCACTTTCTCTCCTACAAAGTGACAATCGACCTCAATATGCTTGGTTCTCTCATGGAAGACTGAGTTGGAAGAGATGTGAACAGCTGCTTGATTATCACAATATAGTCTCATGGGTTTGTCAACTGAGAACCCCATTTCTTGTAGTATGTTCTTCAACCATACTAGTTCACATGTGGTATCAATGTTTTAAAAGCGCAAGGGCCAATTTGCGCCTGAGGCGCAAGGCGCAAGGCGCAAGGCGAGGCGTGCGCCTTTTTAAGAAAGGCGCAACATTTTAAAAAGGTGCACACCTGGGCTGAGGCGCAAGGTGCATCAGGCGCACACCTAGGCACACTAAGCGCGTGCCTTTCGAAAGAGGTGCGCCTAGGACCTAGGCGAGGCGCATACCCCAAAATGCGCCTAGGCACACCTCAGGCGCGCCTTTTAAATCACTATGTGGTATGAGCCATAGCCCTGTACTCAGCTTCTGCACTAATCCTTGACACCACTATTTGTTTCTTACTCTTTCAAATTACAAGATTGCCACCAAGGAAGATACAATACCCTATAGTTGATCTCCTGACTGATACAGAACCAGCCCAATCAGCATCTGTATACCCTACTACCTTAAGAGTCCCCCCACTTTTGTATAGCAAACTACGACTTGGAGCACCCTTCAGGTACCTAACAATCCTTAGAACTGCTTCCCAATGAGGAATCCGAGGATGTTGCATAAATTAACTCACCATACTCTCAGCAAATGATATATCTGGTCGGGTAATAGTCAGATAATTCAACTTTTCCACCAACCTCCTGTACCTTCCAGGATCATCAAACTCTTCACCTGCATCAACACTCAACTTGACATTATAGAAGTCTCGGTTGGTTTAGCACCTAACAGTCTTGTTTATTCAAGTAGGTCAAGAACATATTTTCTTTGACATAAGTTAATTCCATTTCTTGACCATGCAACTTCTATTCCCAGGAAGTACTTCAGCTTACCCAAATCTTTCGTATTGAAGTGGTCTTGTAGGAATTTCTTCAACCTGTCAATCCCATTACTGTCACTCCCAATTATGACAATATCATCCACATACACCACTAGCAAGATTTTCCCATCTTTTGAGTCATGGTTGAACACAGAATGATCTACCTGCCACTGTTTCATCCCAAAGTTTTTCACTACTTCACTGAACCTACCAAACCATGCGCGTGGAGATTGTTTTAGTCCATAAATTGCCTTTTTGATTCTACAAACCTTACCATCCTCCCCCTGAGCAACAAACCCTGATGGTTGCGCCATATACACCTCCTCAATGAGATCACCATGCAAGAATGCATTTTTTATGTCAAGTTGCAAAAGAGGTCAATCATACATAGCAGCTAATGAAATCAACACCTGAACTGAACCAATTTTAGCCACAGGAGAAAATATCTCCATATGGTCCACACCATATAGCTGAGAATAGCCCTTGTCCACTAACTTGGCCTTCAATCGTTCCACACTGCCATCTAGAAGATACTTCACTATGTAGACCCACTTACACCCAACAACATACTTACCAGGAGGAAGAGCAGTGAATTCCCACGTGTGATTATGTTGTAGAGCAGATAGTTCCTCTTCCATTGCTTGTCGCCACCTTGGGGAGGCATGGGCTTCCTAGACAGTCTTGGGAATGGAAATAAATGATAGCAATGATATAAAGTTGCGATGGGAAGCAAAAAGGTGAGCAGCTGAAACATAGTGTGAAATAGGATGAGAAGTACAAATGCGTTTACCTTTCCGTAGGGCAATAAGAAGATCAATGTCTGAGGGAGAAGATGCAACCACAGGACCTGTCAACAAGGACTGAATTGGAGGGGCCGGTGCTCTTCTATGAGTATACACTTGTCTGATTGGTAGCCTCTCAGTAGTAACTGGCACGGGAGGGGAATCCACAATTGGAATGGGGACTACAGGAAGAGGATCCTCAACAGGGACAGAAAGTGGAACTACGGGGGAAGGAGAAAGAACTACAGTGTCCGAGAAAAAAGGAACCGATTCAAAGAATGTGACATCGGAGCACACAAATGACTTATGGGAGTTAGGGTTATAGCACTTATACCCTTTCTGAGTTCTGGAGTATCCAAGAAAGATACACTTAGTAGCTCGTGCATCTAACTTGTCTAAACCAGGCCCCAAGTTTTGAACAAAACAAACACACCCAAAGACTCTCGGGGTGAGAGGAATCGGAGACAGAGTGGGAAACAACACTGAGAAGGGGAATTGACTTCCAAGGATGGGCATGGACATCCGATTGATGAGAAAACATGACGTGAGAACAGCATCACTCCAAAAACGCTTTGGGACATTCATATTAAGCATCATAGACCGAGCAGTTTCAAGGAGATGTCGATTTTTTCGTTCAGCTACACTGTTCTGTTGTGGGGTGTAGGAACAAGAAGTTTGATGAATTATCCCATGATGCTCTAAGTATTGCTGAAATGGTGTTGAGGTATACTCTTTCGCATTATCGGAGCGAAGAATTTTAATATGAACACCAAATTGGATACGTATTTCAGCATAAAATTTTTGAAAAATAGAGAACAATTCACTGCAATCTTTCATAAGATAAATCCATGTCATTCTTGAAAAGTCATCAACAAAAATTACAAAATACTTATAACCATTGTATGGCATTACTTTAATTAGACCCCAAACATCAGAATGAACAAAAAAAAAGGACTCAAAACACAACTATCAACTCTCGGACTAAAAGAGACTATTATATTTCCCATGCTGACACGACTCACAATCCAACGATGAAAGATGACTTCCGGAACCAGCAACTTCAAAACCTTGAGAGAAAGATGACCAAGTCTGTTGTGCCATTGAAGAGGAGTAAGAGACAACTGAAAAGCTACTGGAGGGCCACCACCATCAAGGTAATACAATCCACGTGCCTCATGCCCTCCACCAATCTTCATCCCCGTCTTGAGATCCTGAAACACACAAGAAGAGGGATAAAAGGTTATGAAACAATTAAGTGACTTGGTTAATCTACTAACAGCCATAAGGTTAAAAGAGAACTTGGGAACATATAAAACAGATGATAAGGTTAAGGAGGAGAGATCAACATCACCAACACCACAAATGGGAGATGTAGAACCATTAGCAAGAGTAACTGTTTGAAATGTGGACCGAGAAAGTGAAGAAAATACATTTGGAGTCCCGGACATATGGTCCGAGGGTCCAAAGTCAATGATCCAGTGTGAAGGCTTGGAAGCCAAGCAAGTCATACCTAAATGGGCAAGGGCAGTTGTGTTCTGCTGAAAAGATGTCTAAAGGAACTGCTCATATACTGCACGAGGTACACTCACCATCTCCTTCCCAGAAGCACCAGTAGATGTGGAGGGGATCGGGTCAGTTTGTTGACTTTCACTAGTTGTACCACTACCCCTAGTCACAGCATGGTTAGCCTAAGTGTTGGGTGGACCATGTAAATCATAGCAGAAATTAACTGTGTACCCCTCTAATCCATAGTATGTGCACTTCCTAGGGGCATTACTTCTTCCTTTACCACGACCTCCCCCTGAGTCACAACCTCTACTCTGGCCACCAGCACAGTTAACCATGAGACCACCACGATTACCTAGAAGTCCACGGCCACCACCACCACCACCTCTATTTCCACAGTCGCCTCCTCTAGTCACCACCAAACCAGATCTGACTGAGAGAGAAGAATGCTCTGTAGACTCAATAGATGTCCTCCTACGGGCAAACACTTCTTCAAGTGAGGGAAGAGCAGATCCCCCCAGTATTTGTGCTCGGACAGGTTCATATTCAGCCTTCAAACCCACCAGAAACCTCGTCACACCAAGTTGCTCATGCTGTTGTTGTTGAACCTAAACATCCGGTGTCAGAGGATGATACACATTAATCTCATTTCGGATATTTCTCAAACTTGCATAGCATTCCTCCAAGCTTTGGTTGCCTTGCTTCAGATTAAAGTACTCTTGGTACAACTGATACACCCTAGTTGTATTGTCTTGCTCAGAATACAGTTTCTTAGCATGATCCTAGATTTCTTTAGCTGTATCTAGAAACATAAAGTTCACACTGATTTTTGGTTCCATGCTATTCCACAACCATGTCATAATTTGAGCATCCTCCTGCTCCCAGTCACTAAACCCTAGAGAGTCAGAGGAAGGTTTTTCTTCTCTCACATGTTTTACCTTCTTCTTGGCCTTTAAAAACACCTCCACTGACTTGGCCCACGGCACATAGTTCTCACCATTCAGCTTAATAGATGTCATTTAAACATTTAGGTAATCTGGAGAGATCATAACACCAATTTTGTTGTCACTACCATCTCCGATTGACGTCATTTTCAACCAAATATTCTCACCTCACAAGTATGAACACCACCACAGAAATCAGTGTGAACACTACCACACGACACAAGGCTTTACTTTCAACTATTCAGAATCAACCACACACTATTCAGCACAGTACAAACAACCACCACACCACTGCTGTCGTGAACTTCAGCAACTGAAAACCCTACTTTCAATGCACATACCCAGGTATAAACAGAGGAAAACAAGACTGATATGCATACTAATCACTTCACACCAGCACAAAAAAAAAAAAAAAAAATATTTTAGACCAAAACACAGCATTCGTAGTCCACTACTTGGGCAAAAAAAAACTGTTCATACCTATCCACAAACAGCCCTCTTCGTATCACAAAATAGAGGGCATCTAGTACACCACTTCAACGACCACCACCACAGCAACTGGAGGCATACTCACCTCCAAAACCACAAAATGACCACTACTTTTTGGCCTCTTGTTGAGCTTCCAATTAGGCTAGAAGAAAATCGAAGAAAGCTAATATGGTTGGCGGCGAACCCAGGAAGAAGAAAGGCGATGAGGAAAGAAGAAAAAGAAGGAAAAGGAAACTGGGTTTTATCGCTCTGATACCATGTGAAAACCATATTCAGTTCTAGGTTAAAATAGATAAGAAGAAGAGGATGAAGAAGAAAAGAAGAAGAAGAAGAGGAGAAGGGTTTGGCCAGTACAGGAAAAATCAATCCTCTCTAGTCAACCCACTTGCATTTATCTCACATAAACTTAGTTACAAGAAAGACAATATTGTCCCTCATAAGTGATGGGACACACAACTTARACTTWAATAAAACAGACCTTTCACTCTCAAATAGATCAACCCAAATGACCAAAATACCCCTGTTCTATGAACTCTAACATCACACAATAGTTATAGATACTTTGTTATTTTTATTGATGATTATTCAAGGATGACATGGCTTTACCTAATGAAAGAAATGAGTGAATTGTTTTCCATTTTCCAAAAATTTTATGCTGAAATTCACAACCAATTTGGTGTACACGTTAAGATTCTCCGTTCTAATAATGGTTGTGAATACTTTTATACACCAATTTAGGAGTATTTGGAACAATATGGCATTATCCATCAAACTTCGTGTACCTACACCCCACAACAAAATGGAGTAACTAAGAGAAAGAACCGTCACCTTTTAGAAACTGCTTGATCCCTTATGCACCATATGAATATGCCCAAACCTTTTTGGAGTGATGTTGTGCTTACATCTTGCTTTCTAATTAACCGGATGCCCACGCCCATCCTTGAAGGTCATTCTCCCTTCACCACTTTTCCTACCTTGTCTCCGTTTCCCGTACTCCTTGGGTTTTTGGGTGTCTGTTTTTTTCATAATCTTAGACCGGGAAGGGGCAAGTTAGATGCACGATCCATTAAGTGTATTTTCCTTGGCTATTCCCGGACCCAAAAAGGGTACGTGTTATAACCCTAGCTCCCGACGTTCCTTTGTATGTGTCAATGTTACTTTCTTTGAGTCCACTCCGTTTTTCTCGGGGTCAGGTGATGTTTCTTCTTCCTCACCACCTCCTCCTCTTCTAGTCCCAGTTGAGGACCCCATTCCACTTGTTCCGGCTGTGACCAAGTCTTTGCCTCCAGTGCAACTTCCTATTAAATGGCCACCTATTCGTCAAGTGTATACACATCGACAACATGTACCGGCTCCTCCTCCAGCTCCATCACCGTCGACAGACCCGGCAATGTTCCAACACTAGCTACAACCCCAATTTCTGATCTTGATCTTATGGTTGCCTTGCAGAAAGGTAAATGCAGTTGCACTCTTCACCCTATTTCTAATTATGTTTTTGTCACTCATCTTTCTGCTCCCCATCGCCAGCTTATCTCCTTGTTATCTTCTATTATTGTTCCTACGGATGTCGAAGAAGCCCTTGCCTCTCCAGGGTGGCACCATGCAATGGAAGAAAAATGGTATTGCCTACACTGTTAAGTATTTACCTGGTGGTAGTGTAGAGCGATTAAAAGCTAGACCAGTTGCCAAAGGGTATTTCCAAACATATGGTATTGCCTACACGGAGACACTCTCCTATTGCTAAAATTGGTTCAGTTCGTGTTGTGATATCTCTAGCTGCTATGTATGATTGGCCTCTTTTTCAGGTTGACATCAAGAATGCTTTCTTACATGGTGATCTACTTGAGGAAGTCTATATGGAACAACCACCGGGGTTTGTTGCTCAGGAGGAGGATGGTAAGGTGTGTAGACTAAAGAAGGCCATTTATGGACTTAAACAATCTCCTCATGTGTGGTTTGGTAGGTTCAATGAAGTGGTAAAGAAGTTTAGTATGAAATGGTGTTAGGTTGACCACTCAGTCTTCAGTCATGATTCGCAGGATGAAAAGATCTTATTGGTGGTATATGTAGATGATATTGTCATTACTAGGAGTGAAAGATTGGGAATTGATAGATTGAAGATCTTTCTGCAGGAACACTTTCAAACAAAGGACCTTGGTAAACTAAAATACTTCTTGGGGATAGAAGTAGATGGGTCTAAACATGGCATTAATTTGTGTTAGAGGAAATATATTCTTGATTGGTTGGAAGAAACAGGATTGTTAGGTGCCAAAGCAGCTGAAACACCTACGGAATCAAATACCAAGCTGAGCAGTGATATGGGTGAAGAGTTTGAAGATCCTGGAAGGTACAGGCGGTTGGTGGGTAAACTAAACTACCTAACCATTATCCGGATAGATATTTCATTTGCAGTTAGTGTGGTGAGTCAGTTCATGCAAAAACCTTGGGTTCCACATTGGGATGCAGTTCTAAGGATTGTAAGGTATTTGAAGGGAGCTCCTAGTTGTGGCTTGATATATAAGAGTGGAGGAAATCTCAAAATAGAGGGATATACTGATGCTGATTGAACTGGCTCTATATCTGACAGAAGATCCACTATAGGTTATTGTACTTTCCTTRGGGGTAATTTGGTGACATGGAAAAGTAAGAAACAGACAGTTGTGGCAAGTAGTGTAGAAGCCAAATATAGAGTTATGGCTCATACCACTTGTGAATTAGTATGGCTGAGAAATCTTCTACAAGAAATGGGAAATTCATTTAACACTCAAATGAAGCTTTATTGTGACAACCAAGCTGCAATCCACATCTCTTCTAATTCGGTGTTTCATGAAAGAACAAAGCATATAGAAGTTGGTTGTCACTTTGTGAGAGAGAAAGTACTGAGTGAAGTGATAGATACTACACATGTTAACACAAGAAACCAATGGGCAAACCTGTTCACCAAAGGGTTGAGTCGGGGGAGAGTGGACTACATATGTAACAAGCTGGGAATATATGATATATACATACTAGCTTGAGGGGGAGTGTTAATGTCGACTGTGTAGGGGTATTTTAGTCTTTATATTTATGTTTAAAGCTGCTAATGTGTAATGTTTCTGTTAGATGATGTGTCGTGGAGACAAAGTAGTCCTTTGTTATTACGGATAGGAACATACAAATTCAATTTGTTCGACTAGAGAGAAATCTGAGTTCTCTAGATCGATCCAGAATTTTCTTCTTCTCTATTCTCCTCTCTTCTTCTTCTACTTCTTCTTCTAGTCTCAACCCTAATT